CTATTGCCAGTGCTAATAGAGTTGGTCATATGGTTGAGTAGGTATAGATTGAGCTGCTTTCACCTCCGCTGCTGAAAAGCAGTCATCAGTTGTCTGGTTTCAGTGCTGCTGAGTCCTGTTTCTTCACCTTTATCCTTATATGATCGCTGATTGAAGCCTGGAATGATGACTGACTATCTTAAAGGACTGAAGAGGATTACGTCAGCAAACTTATTAAGAAGAATCTGACAGCATGTAGTTTTATGTGAAAGCAAGAGAAACAACAGCAATCATCACAAAAGGCTTTTTTAAAAAAAAAAAAAAGATTAAAACAGTAAGATTTTGTGAAAAATTAGCCTACATAGTGAGAATAATGATATTTCATAAATAAATCATGAAGTAAATGTGTGATTTAAGTATAATTTGAACATAGCTTTAATGGGAAAATGTGAGTTGCCCCAAAACTAATGTTTCTCAGTTACACCATCGCTCTTCTTCCGCTTATCATCATCAGGGTGTGTGGGGCCTGTTTTAGCTACGACAGGGCGATAGGCGTGGTACACCCTGGATGGTCACTAGTCTAACACATAAAGACAGAGAACCATTCACACTCACATTCACATCTATGAGCAATTTGGATTCACCAATTAACAAAACCCCACTAACTGCATGTCTTTGTGCTCTGGGAGGACGCCAGAGTATCTGGAAAGGCTCTGACCAGATGGTGGAGTCAAACTCAGGCACTTCTTGCAGTGAGGCCACTGCGCCACCGTGCTGCCCTACACATAACAGCTAGAACCCATAACAATTTCACATCTTGGTTTTGTTAATACAAATATACCTTCTAGACAGTGCTGGGGTCATTACCTAGTAAAAGTAATGTATTACACATGTTACTTTTCTTAAAAGTAATGCTGTACATTACTCATTTACTCCCAGAACAAGTAATTTGTTACACTCCTTCTTGTTACTCCATAAAATAATCTTAAATAATTTTCTTTTATTGTTACATTCATTATTTCTTATTAAATGTAATATCCATATCTCCTCTGTAGACCTATCCATCATTTTCTTAAAAAGTGAAATCAGCTGACTGTATCCCAAAGTTTGTTTAAATTGTATTTTTTTTCTTTCTCTATGCCTGGCATGGCGATAACTGAAAATCCTGTAGAATGCAGCTAATGACGTAATTGTAACTGCAATGCAATTTGTGAATTTAGTACAGTAATATCTTAAATTAATCAAATTGTTACATTGTTACATTTAACACGTTACTTTTTACACTTTTTTTACACCCAACATGACTATGAGATTTTACCTATCTACAGCGATATGGCCCATAGGAAATTCAGTTCAATTCAATTTTATTTATACAGCGCTAAATGACAACATCAAGGCGCTTTATATTGTAAGGTAGACCCTACAATAATACATACAGAGAAAAACCCAACAATCATACGACCCCCTGTGAGCAAGCACTTTGGCGACAGTGGGAAGGAAAAACTCCCTTTTAACAGGAAGAAACCTCCCGCAGAACCAGGCTCAGGGAGGGGCGGGGCCATCTGCCCACATAAAAGCACATGGATACACTAATGTTTAAGGAACAGCTTCTCAACTTGTAAAATGAGACCATCAGAGGAGCATAGGCAGAGACGACATCATTGTCATCAGCAGCTTACTGAAGTTTTACCAAAATCTCAGAGCTTTCTATTTTCCCTGTAATATTTACCAAGTTTATAATTTCTAGAGAGTGTCACAAATGAAAGAGGCTCGACTAAAATATTCCCATTTTTATTTCCCAGTTTTATGGTCTGAAAGCTGTTTTCAAGATTGCTGTGTTTGAAGAACAGCTCAGAGTACTGCACTCTGAACTCCAAAGTTTCTAAACCCCTCAGTTGCAAATATAAGCTCACATTTCTCAGATGTTACTAAGACAATTGTGTGCTGATTATTTTATTATTGTTACCATTTGTTCATGTCATTGTTCTATTTATACTGTTATCTTATAGGGAAGGAAAGGTGAAGGTGGACTCCCAGGGGTGGATGGCCTTCCTGGATCTGCTGTAAGAACAATTTGGATTTTGCAGCATGCAAAGTGATGACAAAGATTATTTTCTCAGAGTTGTTTTTTATCAAAGCTAGGTCAAACCCGTAAATACATCCATCACGAGAGATGTGCAGACCGAATGTATTTATCCATGTGTAAATTCTAGAAAAAATACAGCATTATTATAAAAATAAAGCTACAAAAAGTTGCAATAGTATAAAAGATCAAAGTAGCTACTGTGATGGTGTGTGAAGTCCCATTCTGAAGCCCTGAGATGGGTCTGACAATGAGCACATCCTGAAAAAATCTCCTTTCTGACACTGACTGAATGACAGAAATGAATGAGCAAATAGACGACTATGTAAATATAAGTACACTTTTAAGCTTTTTTGTAACCACAGCTATCGCCCCCTGGTGCTCTTTTAAAAAGAGATTTTTAGACGTGGAAGCCATGACCATTTTCTATACTGTCTGTGAATGCAGTACATTTTTTGTACTTTACAAAAAATTACTAGAAATGAACTTCCAGATTCTAGAGCTGCATTAAAATACGTGTAAATTTCCCTCATTCTAAATAATCCTGACAAAATGTTGCCTCATTTTGTACAATTTAAATTCCTACTCTATTTTCAACAATTGCAATAATGCAAATATGAAGTAGTGTCTATAAAAAAGTCTGGAGATTAGCATCATTTTGATTTGTTGGGGAGCCATCGCTCTCTGGTGGACAGGACTCGGTGCTGGATGAAACATGTCCATTGAGACTGCCGTACTAACCAAATCTTCTTTTTCAGCCACAGCTAGACATACAGTACATATTAACCCTACTTGTATTCATGGATGAGACCAGCCAGCATTACCTCGACCCTACAGTTACATGCAGTGGCGGTCC